CCACTAGTACTACTTACCAACTACACACAACCACATGATATCACCTACTCACTCCACTACTACCATCCATCATATAACTACAACCTCCTCTCAGCCATCAACCTCTTCGTCACCTTCTGGCTACTCGCCATCACCTACCTAACATACTCACTAACAATACCACTCGACGTTCTACACTTACGATCACACCTACGCAGTGCCGTGCTCACACCACTAGTACTACTCACCAACTACACACAACCACATGACATCACATACTTTAAACCGTAATGTAATACTCACTCTATTCGACACCTCAACTACTCACACCACTACCCACTATTCCACCTCACCTTCTGGCTACTCGCCCTCACCTACCTAACATACTCTCTTACAATACCTCTGGACCTCCTTCATATCCGCTCACATTGGAGACGTGCATTGTCCCATCAAATATCCGTGTTGGCATTATTATCACACAGGGCAATGTCACCAACAAAGGTTGGGTATTTCAACCCGTAAAATGTCATCACATATCAATCTAATGTTATCAAATCTATGTTCGTATGTATTGGGCAGATTGATGGTTTCACAAAAATTTCATGTTCTACACCCCTTCCGCATGCACGGCACAGATATTCAGATAATGTGTGTGGCTACCTACCCCATCGAAGATGTGTGGAGAAACACACTACATGGTAGACATCGTAGTGAAGATGACGACATACAAATAGAACCGTCTGTTGTTCTGTTAAGGCGGAAGACGCCGAGGTTGGATACAATCTATTATGACACTATCGCTACTGGCACTCTAAACAGAACCAGTGTGACATCGACAAGTGATTGAACTAATGTATTTAATTAGTCACGGCACTACCTATGGGTAGTACATCACACGATACTTAATGATGACAAGAGGTGATCATATAACTACAACCTCCTCTCAGCCATCAACCTCTTCTTCACCTTCTGGCTACTCGCCATCATCTACCTCCTCTACGTCCTACTCTTCCCCCTGGACCTCCTTCACATGCTCTCGCATTGGCGTCTCGCCTACACCCATCACCACCTACTACCACTGCATCTACTCGCCCACAAGATACCCGCACCTACTACATTGTACTTCAAACCGTAATATAATACTCACTCAACTACTACCATCCATCATATAACTACAACCTCCTCAAGCAAATCAACCTCTTCGTCACCTTCTGGCCACTCGCCATCACCTACCTAACACACTCACTAACAATACCACTCGACGTTCTACACCTACAATCACACCTACACAATGCCGTGCTATCACCACTACATCTACTTACCAACTACACACAACCACATGATATCACCTATTCACTCCACTACTACCATTCATCATATAACTACAACCTCCTCTCAGCAATCAACCACTTCGTCACCTTCTGGCTACTCGTCATCACCTACCTCCTCTACGCACTACTCTTCCCCCTGGACCTCCTCCACATCCTCTCGCACTGGCACCTCGCTTACACTCATCACCTACTACCACTTGTACTACTTACCAACTACACACAACCACATGACATCACATACTTCAAACCGTAATGTAATACTCACTCTATTCAATACCTACTCACTCCACTACTACCATCCATCATATAACTACAACACCCTCTCAGCCATCAACCTCTTCCTCACCTTCTGGCTGCTCGTCATCATCTACTTAACATACTCACTGACAATACCACTCGACGTTCTATACCTACGGTCACACCTACACACTGCCGTGCTCACACCACTAATACTACTCACCAACTACACTCAACCACATGACATCACATATTTCAAACCGTAATATAATATTCACTCTATTCGACACGTCATCTACTCACTCCAATACTACCATCCATCAACAACATGACCTTACCTACGTCTTTTTTCAATGGCATTAGTCCCTCTCTGCAATGACCAATCGGTGACAAACACCACCGAAACAATTTCCACCATTTCCTCAGTGATATCAGATGCGGCCTCAACCATCTCCAAGCTAAGTGGCAAATCCAAAACATCGAAATCGGCATCCCACAAGACCTCGAGTAAACACGCGGTGGAAATGGCAGTGGCTAATAACTATATACTCCCGAAAGACCATGATACAACATGTGCTGGGTCCAAACGCATAGTCACGAAAGAGATTGTTGTACGAAAAGAACCACTGTCCATCCAGGTATTCGACATTATAGAAGAAGGAAGGAGGTGGTACCGTTCCCTGTGCTACAGCTCAGACGCTACCCGTGCATTCTGTACCACCTTACCTCGTTATATAAATATAGTGGGTCTACACAACGGCCGGCCGGAGCTCTCAGTGGGTAAACCTTCGAAACCCCCCAGAGAACCTTCAACCTCCCTCCTCATCATCCGTAACACCCAAATGGACCCTGTCCTGGGAAGGGAACAGTACATCCCACCCACCCTACTCCGAGGCCT